TTTAAACTTTTTAGATATTAGTCATAATATTAGAAAAAGTATGCCATATACAATTAGAGTTAAAAACAGAATAGTATAATAAAGCATTGATATTTAATAAAAAGCCGTCAATTTTGACAAATAATTCTACTAATTTATAATTACTCAATATCAAAATAAAAAAGTTCACTAATAATTCGTTGACAAAACTACAATTTTTTTCATTATAATTTGATGCAATATTTAATAATATAATAATTTGATGTGCAACTAAAATTTTTGCGTGCAACATACATTCACGTAATTTTCGATTACTAGGCACTATAATTACAAAGATGTAATTTTCAAGTCATAATTCACTACAAATGCTATGAGAATTATGCAAGTAGTATTACATTATTATTTTCGTGACTGCTGTTAGGTATTGTAACACGATACGTGCGTGTATTATCAAGAGATTATTTTAACGTTCCAACATATAATATAAATTCCCGTAATTTAGAATTCAAATGTAATTTAATTGCTCATCGTGACAAACAAACATAGATAACAGTCAATTGTTACAATTGTCCACTTGTCAACAATCTTAATTAAAATTAAACTACTGCTATCATTCAGACCGAGAATAACAATAATACACGAATGCATGAAATATGTAGATTGTCTCTGTTTAAAAACTTCCTAATAAGATAAAGAAGACATAATAATTATTTTTCAGCAAATAAACGTACTATTTTGTATAAAAATGAAGTTAAAAGTCATAATCGTTTAAATATTATAATTTAATTTTATCTATAAGATAAAGATCAATGCACATTTCATTCTAATTAAACTTGAGACAGAATGATGAAATGTTAATTACATTTAATAGATTATGGTCGAATCAATTAACGTCGGCTAATCAAACTTATGTAGCGCCTAATTAACATTGTTAGTAAACCCATATGTGCAGACTGCATATCACACCTAATATTAGTTAATTAAATTATTACATACTTTAATTGATTAATTAAATTATCTTTGATCGTAATTCTGATAACATTTAACAGTATTATTAATTTTGCTGTTATTATTGCTTGCAGTTTTAGCACATTAACCAACATTATGATCTATTCTATAATTTATTTGCGACAAAAACAAATATAATTATAAATATAATTTAATATAACAAATACAATTATAAATATAATATAAATATAATTTTTTACAAATGTACTTTATATAAATATATAATAAAATAAAAATTTGTCTGTGTCTTTGATATTGCAAGTAAATTTTTCAAAGATAAAAAGTTATAATTGACAAAATTTCTATAACCCTTTGTCAAATCTTTGCAAACTATTATTGTAATTCAGAAACAAATTATATCTATATATATTTAGCAAAGAATGTAAAACATACAAAGAACGTATTAAATTTTCAAAATGTTATATAAATCTTCATGAAAGAAATCTGAATTTTCCAAAATTAGTACGTTAAATTAAATTTCTGCTTTCCTAAAAGATTCTCTCTTGATAAGATTATTCATTACAAGATATGTGTGTTTGAAAGAAAGCTACCGCTAACGTTTCAAGTGTTGTCTCAGATTATTCCTCGCATGGCGGCATTCTTACATGCGCAATGCAATGTGCAATTCGCGAGAATATCAATCATCGGTGCGGAATTACGCGCAATCACATGGTAGAAAAAAATCCGAAAGTTGATTTAATTGGAAGCATGTGCCGCCACCAGGCTGAAACCGGCGGGCAGGTTTATGGGCGAACGCGTATGGTAACTAACCGCGCCCCTGGAGTTACCTCAATTTCGTGAACTAGATGGTGGCTGCGGTTCTGCGTACCGTGAAACTCTCATCAACCACCATGATTACCACCATAGAGCACGCTTTTCTCGTACTTTTCCGCCCGCAAACCGCCGACCGGACGCCTGACAGCGTTACTCCTTTTAACTTTAGTTTTCAACGCCAATCTAAAAGTATCATACGCCAAAATGCTCTAATAACACGATATCTGTGATATCACCCAATTTATTTACAGGAAATCTTGGGAAAAAACCAAAAAAAACTTACCGAAATTTTTATTCGACTTAAAATTAATCTTTTCTTAACAGAGAACGAAGTACTAACGGTTTTAAGTTAAAAGCGATTAAAAATGAACGGTGTTTTGCAAGTTAATCTTTGTTAACTTTTATAGGCATTTACTGATAGATAATAATGTATTATACTTCAATTCAGTAAACGTGAATTTTATTTTAATCAAATTTTTTTCCTTTCCATTTTTTCGGTTTCCATTATTTTTCTTGGTACAATGATGCAAACGTAAAACGATATATTATTCATATTTCAGTTAATTTTTACTTCAAATATGGATATGAATGATCCGGAGCGTTTTGTTTTTGTCAAAAAGCGTATCTATCAAACGCAATTTTATTATACGTCATTCTCGCCGTGACACGAATCTGCACTTCGACGTTAGTATAAATTTTTATCAACTATATGTTAGTGCGGCAAGATATGACAAACGGATGTGTAACGGAATATTTTGTTCCAAATATTGTGAAAAATAATAGTTTCATATTACGTTCCGCGTCAAAAATTCTCAATCTAAAAAATTTAAATTCTGATCAAATTTCACATATATATCTGAAATATAGTTCGACAAATAAATTGCAAAACTCATCACTGCTGCAAAAAAAATAACTCCTTATCATCGCAATTCATTGAATTAACGTGACATTAACTTTGTAATTCGCAAAACACATAAATAAATCGATACAGGCTCTTACTCGAAGAGAAGAAGAAAAGCAAAGAGTAGTAGACGTAAAATAATGCGACAGCAAAAGAAATATACAGGATTCAAGACGGCGAGGGGATTCTCAGCAGGCACCGTTAATATACTTTACTATACGTGTGTTTCTCTGATTCCATGGCCCAAATGGACTCGACCTCGTTAATTTTTAAGAGGCGCCCCATCGCCGAGAGTTACAGAGAAGAGGAGAAGCGAATTACAGAGATAACTACTTCTAGATCGAGCGAGCGTTACTTCCACGTGTTGGCCGCGTCGTAATTATATTGATCGCCGAAGCGATGCATTCGGAGTATCAGTGGAAATACATTTTGCTGCTTGCCGTAATCACTATGGATGCGCAGAGGTTTATCATCGTTAGACAATTTGCTGAGAGCGCGGCGCAATACTGATCTCCATTTAGATACGACGATAAGTCTATCGTTACTATTTCGCGGCCGTCCACGCTCTCTATATCTTAAACGAGATATATATACACGCACGTGTTTTATAGTGAAAAAAGAGAACCAGTTGCTTTTTCCCCCTTAAAACACTCACGCGCTGATTTCGTCGGTCGACGCGAATTC